TGGGTGGGTCTGGGGAAGCTCTCTTGTACCAACCAGGTTCATATATTTTTCTTCCGTGAAGCTCTATCCCCACCCTCTCTGGAGCTTCTGCCGGCCTTATTTACACCCCACGCTCCACACCCTTTCTCTTCCCACTGCCCCACCCCTCCCAACAAGTGACAGAGCATCTCTAAGACCAATTCCATTTTTTTTTTTCCTTAATGACAGCTGAGAGGAGAGAGAGGTCTACTTACAGGTGACAAGTGAGTCTTGTTTCTCGAGTCTTACACATGGCTCTGGCTTGCTCTTTCCAGTCAAATGTAGGTCTCCAGTCACCACATCATGGTTACATAAAACAAAACAAGTTTAAAAAGTTTATTCCAGGAACATAATGCTCTAGCAAGTGAATATTCAGAGTTCTCTATCAGAAGCTACAGAGGCGAGCTACAGATATCCAAGTACCAAAGGAATTATCTAATTGCTCAATTCGTCTCTCAAATTTTATTGGGCCTTGTATAGTTTGCTAGGGCTGCCATAACAAAGTACCACAAACTGGACTGTTTAAACAGTAGAAATATTACCTCCAGGCGCTGGAGGTAGAAGGTAGAAATTAAGGTGTGGCCTAGGTTGGTTCTTTCTGAGGGCTCTGAGGATTGGACTTATTCCAGGCCTCTCTCTTTGGTTTGCAGATGGCCAGCTTATCCCTTTGTCTCTTCACATCATTCTCCCTTTTATGCAAGTCTGAGTCTGTCCAAATATCCCTTGTATATAATAACACTTGTCATAATGCAATAGGGCCCACCTTAATGGCTTCATCATTAAAGACCTATCTCCAAAATAAGATCACATTCTCAAGTACTGGAAACTAGGACTCCAACATCTATCTTTCTTTCTTTCCCTTTTTCTTTCTTTCCTTCCTTCCTTCTTTCTTTTTTCTTTCTTTCTTTCTTTCTTTCTTTCTTTCTTTCTTTCTTTCTGAAGGGGGTAGTGCTGGGATACAATTCAACACATATCAGTTCATACCACCAGAGTGTGTGTTTCTGTGTCAGTGTGTATATTGAGAGAGAGAGACTCTATTCCACAGGTATAGCTTCAAAGTATTGAAGGCCATGGAGTAGGTAAAACACTGGGTTGTGCGTAGGAGGAAGTCTCTCTCAAAAAACAGATACTGATATTGACACTGTGATTTGGAAAGTATAAGAGTTACGAGTTACTAATAAAAAAGTTTTCACAATATACAGGACTGCAAGATAGGCAGTTAAATATAAATAGTTCCTTAAGAAAACACCTATATTTTATGATAGTAGATGACTAAACAAAGTAAAGAATTAAAAGAAGTCTGAAAGGTCATCAATGTCTAAACTAATATAAGAAAATATGGCATGGATACATTTGTAAGAAATTTACTAACAGTATGACAGTAAAAGTGTAGTAATAACCTAAGGAATAGCTATATGGACCCAGCCTTGTGACAACTTAAATTTGCTTTACTAACACACACTCACACTCAAAAGTATAAAGCTTAAATGCTGAAGAAGTGATTGTAGTTTAGCACTATTATCAATGATTGAGGCATTTCTTAAAATAACAGTGATAGTAAATTTCAGTTGCCAGGAAATTTCCAAAGAAAAATTATATTCTAATTATAACATGTGTTCTCATATTGTCTAGATGGTTCCTTATATAGTTTAATGTAAATTCAATAGGGAGAAAAAGGCATATGGTTTGCTTTAAAATAAATTAGCAATAGTAAGTGTAGTAGCAGAAGCATTTATAATAATAGATAACATTTACTGAGATCTTACTATGTGCAAAATGTTTTACATAAATTACTCCTTCTAATTAAAATGGAGGAAATATTCACATTAAATTACAAGACTTCCAGAAAGTAACTCATATAGATGGCAGAAATCAATAATGAAAACCTTCAGCTTGATAATATTAAATTTGTATTTTGAGGGATCTATAGAGAAACCAAAGGGGGGGGGTGATGCAAAGGAATCGTGGAGGGGAAATGAGAAAACAAAGGTCTAATGAATCAATTTGAGTCTAAGTTTATATAAGCTATCTAGAAATAATCACATTGACAAGAGGGTCATCTTTTAGAAGAATTCACACTTTTCTTGTGATTCATAAAGGATTAGATGTGAAATTCAAGAACAGTTCAGATAAGTTTGAAAATAAGAAATACGGAAAGATAAAAGGATGAGATATGCATATCAATGAAGAATTGATAGAAAAAGCAGTGAATGAAATACAGTCTCTTTTAATTTTTTTTCTGGTCAATATAAGAGGCGAAGATCCTAAAACAAATATTCAATCTTTATTATGTAAGACAGGAGAGAACAGAAAACCCCTCCAGCTAACTAACTCCCTGATGCTTCTGTAAAAGACAGATAAAAGTGAAAAGAAAGCAAATCTTTGAAAGATGGCAATGGAAAACTGAGGTGGAAAAAACAGTTGTGGTTTCCTTTGTTGGTCTGTGTGGAGCAAGGATTTAAAAGACCATATGGACATTACCCCTGGTGGAGAAGCAACTGAAATGCTGCTTTCTTTATATCCTTGAGTCAGCATCACAGAAGGCTATGGAAACTGAGCACTGCATCACCACCAGAAATGTGGCTTGATCTCATTAAGCCACACTGTGACTGTCACAATGACATACTTGTAAAAGTTTAACTCTTGAACAAATTAACTCTTATAAAGTTTACTGTAAGAATTTTAAAAATATTAGTCACCTTCAAAAAGCAATATATTCATGAGCAAAATGCCTCTGCAGATTAAGAAACGGCCACAATTTCCCACCCCGCCCTGTAGATACGCCCCCTTGTAATGTGGCTTTGCATCTGCTCCCATCAAGTCTGTTTCTCCAGCCCCTGAATCTGTACTGGCTTTGTAGCTTGCCTTGGCCAACATAATGAAGTGGGAGTGATGTACCAGTTTAAAGCCTTGGTTTCAAAAGGTCTTGCATACTTCTGCCCTCTCTCTTTTTTGGAACCTGACCCTAGTGCTATGAGAATAAACCTTAGCTGGCCTGCTTGATGATGAGAGGCATAAATACCAGTCTCTCTCTCTGTCTCTCTCTCTGTCTCTCTCTCTGTCTCTCTCTCTCTCTGTCTCTCTCTCTCTCTCTCTCTCTCTCACAGACACACACACACATGTGAGCACGCAAGCACACACCTTTGATACAAAGAGAACCACCATTAGGAAACAAGTCAGAAGATATAATAGAGGAAGGATTTAAAAGAAACGAATACCTAAAAGAAATAAAATGCCCTCGACAGCTAAAACTTCTTATCTCTGTCCCTAGATGATTCACAGCTAATTCCTAGAAGCAGAACTGCCTTGCTCTTATGCATGTGTCCAGAAGAACTGTCCAGCTGAACTTAGCCCAAAGGCACTGACCCACAAACTTAATGAGCTTCAAAAAGACTGTTGCTAGGCTATTAGGTTTTGGCATTGTTTATTTACCAAACTGATTCATCCTCCTCTAAGCTCCTTTTATCTGAAAAGTAAAAAAAAAAACAAAAAACAAAAACTATGAGCTTACTTACCTGCCCTCTTAACAATAACATTTATATCATATATTGTGAATTCTAAAAGAAAATCAATATATGATATATATTTTCCTCATTTCATACATTTTTGAGAGGCAGTATTTCACAGTGGTTAATTCCACAAGCCATGGAGGCAGGTAAAATGGAGTTCATCTTCTGAGTGTTACTCACTAGATAAAATCGCATAGCTCCTTGAACCTCAATTTGTTCTTCTATAGAATGGGGAGGATGACACTATAGTTAATATGAGAATTAAATGATATAAGGCCAATAAATACTTAAGAAAGTTGCACATTTTAGGCATCTATGTATAGTAACTTTTATTGCCAAATAAAGAAATTTCACACCAAATAACATAGTTAATGACTGACAGAAGCAGGACAGTAACCATATTCTCTGACGGCAATCCTAACCCCTATCTGTTGTACCATCCTGCTTTGTACTGAGGTCAAAACTAGCTCA